GAGTTTCCGAAAGTAAGGGGTACCTTGTTGGGTCCCCAATGTAGTACTGCACCCTTATAAAAAGGACCGACCCTACACCCTAAACCCTAAACCCTAAACCCTAAACCCTAAACCCTAAACCCTAAACCCTAAACCCTAATTTAAAGAGCTACACAGAAGCAGCTTCGGGTCCTTCGATGCAAGGCCTTGCAACTATGTGGGATGCCGCCGTTGTCGCTGTGTTGGTTTGGGGTTTAGGGTTTAGTTTTTAGGGTTTGGGGTTTGGGTTTTAGTTTTTAGGGTTTAGGGTTTAGTTTTTAGGGTTTGGAGTTTGGTTTTTAGGGTTTGGGGTTTGGTTTTTAGGGTTTGGGGTTGAGGGTGTTCCTGAGAAACGATGCTTCTAAGCCAGATTCACTTCTAAGCCTTCTACACCTCTGCCTTCAATCCTACACCTTAACGTCCTAAACCTTAGCCCGTAAACCTTCCCCTCAATCCTGCACCTAGACCCCACTTGGGGGCCCTAACTCAAAGCTTAAAACGCATCCCCTAAACCCTAAACCTTAAACCCTAAACCCTAAACCCTAAACCCTATCCCTAAACCCTAAACCCTAAACCCTAAGTCCAGGACATGGCAGCGTCCTCTCCAGCTCTCTGCCCTGCCGAAGCCAGGCTCTTCTAGAGGAGTTATTATTAGGGTTTAGGGTTTAGGGTTTAGGGTTTAGGGTTAGTATTTTAAGTTACCCAGAGATTCCAATAACCCTAAATTACGGAATATACCTTAAATCATATACCTTCCGGTTCCTTAAGAGAACTATAGGGGTCCATAGGGTTTAAGGTACGGAATAGACCTTAAATCATCGTAGGATCCCTAATATGAGCTAAGGTATCTTCTTTAATTAAGGGATGTTGGAGTCTCTGGGTACCAGAACATGGATCTAGAAGGGCTTATGCTACCATAAGAGGGATTCATAGTTAAAAAAGTGGCTTCCTTATTTATGGTAACTTGAGTTAAGTTCCTTACGCAGAGATTCCAATATCCTTTAATTACGGACAATACCCTAAACTATTTTATAGTAGGTTCCCTTATCTGATTGAAGGTATCTTCCCTACTTAAGGGATATTGGGAGGCCTGGGCAACAAAGAGCCCAGGAAGTGGGCGCAGCAACTGATGGAGGAGTCCTCTGCACCTCCCGCAGCACCTTGGCTCGCCTAGCAGCCGAAGCCCTAAACCCTAAACCCTGAACCCTAAACCGTAAACCCTAAACCCTAAACCCCAAACCCTAAACCCTAAACCCTAAACTGGAAAGATCCAACATGAAGTTCCTTCAAAGGAGCCAGAGGAGTCTTTAGGGTTTCTAAGGGAGCTCCTATAACGTACTCTTCAGTAGTATAGGGTCCCAAACTTGGGGATCTGCTTTTTTTGGATTCTCCCTGGGGTCTGGGGAGTGAAGCACTAAGAAACCCTAACCCTAAACATCAAGCCGAACCTCAAACCCGAAAACTGAAAAACCCGTCTAGGCTTTGCTTGTTGGGGTTTGAGGATGGTTTTGAGGTTCATGTTTCTAGGACTTAGGCCTTTTTGAGACGTTGGGAGGGCGCTGGAGGAATTTGGTGGTCTTAGGGTTTAAGGTTGTGCCGTTCAGGCCACAGAAATCGCACCGTCTAGGGTTTAGGGCAGGGCTTCTTATTAAAGAGTTACCTGTGGCTCCGAATACCTACCGGCTGCAAGGGCCCTATTCAGTTCGGACTTAGGGTTTCGGGTTTAGGATTTAGGGCTTAAGGGTTTCGGGCTTAGGGTTTAGCGTCTAGCTTTTCAAGGTGCTACGGTTGATGATATAAATCCTGCATTACCCATAACAAGGAATATACCATAATTCCCATAGTTTAGGGCCCTTAAGGTAGTGCAGGATTTATATCATCAACCGTAGTTTGCAGGGTTTGGAGTCACAGGTGAGGCTTGAAAGGACCAGCCTAGAAACTTTACTACGAACCCTTCAGCCGAAATGCTACTCCCTGTTCGGTGCAAGTGGCAAGAATCCCTGTCCGTTAGGTCTGCAACCCTAAACCATACCCTAAACCCTAAAGCCCAAATACCGGCTACGGTAGTATTATTCCTGAAGCTTCCTCTTAATCTTATAGTCTTGTAGTACAGTGTACCCCCAAACCTAGTGTAGTTATTGAGGCCCCCGTCCTAAATCCTCAACCCTAAACGCGGAACCCTAGAGGGGGTTGGAGTCTTTGGCCCAGAACCCGAAGGCCGCGCAGCAACCTCCAACGCCGTCGTCGTCGCTGCCACTTTCATCATCAGGAGCGCTGTCACGTCCCAAGACAGAGGCGCTTAGGGTTTAGGGTTTAATAGAGGGGCCTAGACTATTCTAACTATTAAGGCCCCTATATTACCTTCTATGTTGAGGGGTTCCTGATGAATAGGGCCTTGCCTATTTTCCTTACGAGGATAATCCGTTGTTGTTGTTTTTCTCTGGGTACGCAACCCTAAGTGTATGACTCAGGTAACTACACTTGTAGGTACTTACGCCAACTCATTTACTAATAACCTTACTTACTAAGTCCCACGATCCGTCAAGAAATGTAGGCGGGTCCTGTAAGGGTTCCAGAATGAGGGTTTAAGGTTTAGGGTATAAAAGTTTTTATACAGGGCTTGATTCCGGGCTTCTAAATCATAACCCAAAACCTTAAACCCTAAACCCTAAACCCTAAACCTTAGTAATCAGGAGTTGGCAGCTCCCTTTAACAGGCAAGCAACCCCGAAACTCCGAGCCCAGGACCTGAAACACATATCGAGGCTTACATAATTACCGATGTTATTCCGTACGGTTCCTGGTTATAACCACTATACTATATATGAAGGAGCCCAAAAGCCTATTCTAATTGTGAAGGCTCCCACATCCCGAAACCGTAAACCCTAAACCCCAAAGGAGCCCAAGACATTTTAATTATGAAGGCTCCCACATGAAGCCCAACACCCTTGGCTCAATGCCTCAAGCCCAAGACATTTTCTGCCCCTTGCAAAGCCCTATTATCAAACCCTACCGAAAACGAATTTAGGGTTTTGGGTTTAGGGATTTTGGGTTTAGGGTTTAGGGTTTAGAAAAGGATCATAAAACGCGTATAGACCCGCAACGCCCATTATAGAACCCTAAAACTTAAACCCTGATGACACCAGATTCCTAGCAACCCCTAAATTCTAAACCTCAAACCCTTACCACACCCTAAACCTCAAACCACAAACCATAAACCATAAACAAAAACCCTAAACCCGTATCAAACCCTAAACCCTAAACCTTAAACAACAACCCAAAACCCTTGCCAAACTCGAAACCCTAAACCCTAAACAAAAACCCAACGCCCTTACCAAACCCAAAACCCTAAACCTTAAACAAATACCCTGAACCCTTATCAGTCCCTAAATCCTAAACCCGAAACAAAGCCCCCAAAGCCTTACCAAACCCTAAACCCTAAATCACGGTTTAGGGTTTAGGGTTTAGGGTTTAGGGTTTAGGGTTTAGGGTTTAGGGTTTAGGGTTTAGGGTTTTGGGGTTACAGCAACCCTAAACCCTTACGAAAGCCCAAACCTTTATCAAAAACCAAAATCCCCTATCAGACCTCACTAAAGAGCCCTGAGATCGGTCCCACGGAGATGAACTCAGTGACGGTGGCCCAGCTGAAGACGCTGGCCGAGGCTTTCTTCTAGCAGGGGGGGGGGCTGTTTAAGGGATCTATCCTAAACCCGAAGCCCCTAAGCCCGGAAACCCTAAACCCTAAACCCCGAAATCCCTAAACCCTAAACCTTGTACCCTAAACCCTATACCCTAAACCCCAAACCCTAAACCCCGAAACCCCTAAACCCTAAAACCTAAACCGTATCTATCTAACGGGCGGGGGTTTAGGGTTGCGGGTTTGGGGCCCTGAGA